GCCACCTTTTTTAGCAGTTTAACAATGTAACCCTCCTTCGAATCTGCAGGCAGATACATTTCCTTCTTTCTGTACTTCTTGAATTAGTGTCATGAGGATATCTGTTGAGATCTTCGGATCCATTTTCATCAATTGTGAAGGATTTCATCTAGCCAACAGATTTAAAAAATTCTAAATGATAAGATAAATATTAAATATTTAATGCGCAATCACTAACCATTGTAATAACGGTAGGTGGCCGATTGTCATCATCGACAAACGTTATGGTTTTGATCTACTTTTTTAGTAATGTGTTATATCGCGAATCTACAGACGTTAGAGTAAATAAGCCAATGGATTCCGCCTCAAAGGCTGGGTGGTCAACAAGCTTGTCTTGTAACCCGAAGTTCCAAGGATTGACCTTTGGTGGGGTCATGGGTTCTCACTGCTGAAGAATCCCAAACTAGAAGAAAACAGCTGTCCAATGCTTTCTGGTTATTAGTGGTTCTTTAACTGAAGTCATTTCATCGTCAGTCTGGAAGCCAATCAAATCCCTACACACGACCACTTGAAAATACATTATTTAAGAGATAGTTATTAATCATTTTTGCCATATGTAAATTAAATCCTAACCAACACATGTTGATGTAAGTTCATCCACACTAAGAATTTTTTTCTAATATTATTTTGTTAAATTCTTATTTGTTTTCATTCAACATAACCATATCATCTGGAAAGTATGCAAACACAATTGACCTCTACAGTGTTATCATGAAACAAAAAAATAGGTATGACGCATGCACCACATTGTTTACAATCAATAAGTGGTGACTCATAATTATGTTTAAAAGCAGTTATTCGGATATTCCTATTATAAATTGATGTGCAGAAGAATGAAACAAAAAAATATTCTTTGCGATAACATCTCTGGGTCCTACTGTTATGTATCCATACTAGCGAACGAAGAATTAAGAAGATATAAGTCAGGAAAGGTCATTCTATTCGTAACATTACATGAAAGCGTTTTAAAAATATCATAGAAATAAAAAATTAGGTTAATTAATAATACGACCTGTTAACAAAACATATGAAACTAAATATCAAGAAGGAAAATAAAGAAATAAACTGCTAAACTTGATTAGGTGATCTTATGCAATCGGGAGGTGGTTAGTACGGCTCAGAAGTGGCTACGCTTAAAACTATAAGCGCTTGGATGCGGGAAAATTGTCTACTTCTCACTCGGTGCCCAATTATTTTGCAACTATTCGGTCAAATCTTGATCACAGTTCATATCAATTCCTTACAACAGCTAGAGATTCAGAAAATGTATAAACTATATTTGTGCGTTGGTGGTATAGCCGTTAGGACGCTCGCCAACCATGCACATGGTCCAGGTTTCGATCCCCGGCCAACGTTCTCCTGAACTTAGCTGAGCCAGAAATATTGCTGATAATGAGGAAAGGTTGGGCATGAGGCTAGCAACCCTATCCTGTAAAATAAACACTGCTACAGAAACTTCAAGCCACTAGCTTGAAGCCCTATGTTCCACTGGGGAACGTGAAGGAAAAAAATTAAATAAATAAACTATATTTGATACTTAAGAGATTGAAATGAAATGAAAACCAAATGAATGAAAATGGATTGCATACCAATTGACTTTACAAGTCATCGAAGGCCATAGTAGTAAAAGGGATTGAAGAAACCGCTTTTATTAACACAGTCTAAGGTTTTCCTTGTGTATAGCAAGAGCTTCCACTGTGGACAAAAGATTCAAAGAGAAACCCTAAGGAACAATTTGGCCTTACTTTACACCATTCTGCCGAATTTCTCTATTGATCCAGAATGATGTGTAAAAAAGACGCTCAAGAACCCAACCATCAGTTGGCAATCGCTTTGGGATATGTTCCTGCTCATGTCTAGACGATATCAAAAGAAAATTTCTACAAACCAGCAAATGTTTCTACATATCCTACTGAAAGATGAATTTTATTTTGCATTCTATGTTAAAATAGTTTATAATTTTTTCAAACTGTCTACAGGTGACCATTTTATCACGTGTCACATTTTACCCCCTTTCACCTTCATTTTTATATTACCCAAGAGAATCACTTTTCTGACTTTTTCAGTCTCATGATCACTTTTTTCGTCTATAATTGATCTAGGTGTTCATATCCACTTATTTTATATCAAAAAATTATCTGGAAATCTATCCTGTTACAGAATTATGGAATGTTATGGAAGGACTTTAAATGTTTTCAGATTGCTTCACGAGATAGTTGTACACTGAAAGATGATAAGCATTATGTGTGTATGACCTGCAGTTCTCCTTTCATTTTTTCTTAGATATTCATAAATTTCAATGTTCATTGCGAAATGAAGACAGAGAGTATATATAAATCAGTGTTATATGACCCAGATGCCTTGACTCTACACTATATGATGTTGTAGGTACATATTATTGTAGAGTTTAAAAAACTCTAATCATACTTAAATTGCTGTTTGAGAATATTAACTTCGAACAAACCAAATATCCATGAGACGTCATGCATACCTATGCAGAACTGTTTCTTTATATTTTTAAGTTTATGAAAACATTATTATAATTATATCCTTTAATTCGTAGAGGAACATAGGGCTTCAGCTGCACGTCTCCATTGCGTTTGGTTTTCTGCCAACTTTTTCAACCCGCTCCAAGTCTGCCCACATGCTTTCATCTCCTCTTCACATGACCTCTTCCAAGTCACCCTCACTCTTGCACTGACGACCAACTCGCCGCTTCCCTTTCAGGTTCCACTCGAGCAATGGCTTGTCTAGTGATGTCACTTGATGGTTTCCTCAGAGTATGGCCAATCCATCTCCATTTCTTCCTGCCTATTTGTTACACAATCCGTTCCTGGTTGGTTCGCTCATTGCCAGAGATCCCTGTTGCTAATCTTTTCTGGCCAGCCATCTGATCCTGAGTAGTATTGAGCGAAGACAACTGTTAATGAAGGTCTGAAGTTTGTTTGAGATGCTCTTTATGACGCCCCAAGTCTCTGATCCGCACAGTAAGTAGCACTGACTGACTTCACATTGGAGTTGAAAATCCGGGTGTTATTTTTGATGTTGAGTGCTGTTGACCTCCACACAGACTTGAGAGTAATGGAAGCTCATCTTGCTTTTCTGATTCTGGTAACGATGCTTCCCAGGTAGGTAAGTAAAGGAGGTTGTTTCTTTCAGGTTCCTTCCATTTATACTGATTGTTTTCTGCTGTTGTTGCTGTTGGTGTTAGCCAGGAATCTTCATCACCTCTGTTTTCTCTATGTTCACCTGAAGTCCTATCTTCACTGGATGTTTTTTCTTCCAACTTGTTGCTTTTCACTTGCATATGCATAAATTAAGTAACCAAAAACCGACATGTTTTGGTGGGAACGCAGGAGACCGATCTTAGAGTTCTACTGTACAGATGACCGAAGCTTACTTGAGTTACTCATAGTCATAAAATAGCCTAACATCAGCAAAACGACAGTTATTTGCAACAAAATATGCGGTACTATTCAGCATTCATAGTATATAAAAGCGTGAATTGATTGATCAATGCCTTTAGGGAGCTATGTAGATCCAATAGTTTCCCAAGTACAAAACAAGTACTACGCGACAGAATAATTTAACCACAGTCAACCGTATGAAGTACCTGAGAATCAAATAGGATATCCTCAACAAGGTGGGATCAAAGCTGTATCAACAAGAAGCCCACCCCAAACATTTCCTGCAAACAGTTCACGGTCAGAATGACATTGATTCACTCAAACAAAATCGAAGTCGTAAAACAACACATTATCAATATCATTACACCACCACAAAGGGAAGCATTAAAATTTGAGAATAAACAAGATCAGAGACAAACAATAAGGACTAGATCAATATATGAAACACAAGCGCTAGGACAATGAAATATATATAGCTTAGGAGGGAAGAGGAAAATCATTACATCGTATCGATATTGGAATTAGGTCGTCCTGGAGGGATTTTTCAAATAATTATTCCGTTTTATTAGGTATTTAAAATGCAGTGGAAATAAGTATGTGTTCCTTTAGTGTATAGACAATATGGCAAAGATATCTTGGTGTAAATACTCATAAATCCCTTTTAAAAACCCATCCTATTGCAGAAACAAAGTGAATATCAAATAACATGGTCAAGGTACTTGAAATAACCCCATTATTCTAATGTAATATGTATAAGTATATAGTGAATTTAAGCAACTAAACTCATTTATGCTCTTACAACTCAAACTCCATATTTGCTAGCTTGTAGTTATCACGTCGTAAAGTAAATGTATTCATACTGTTATGTTTTACATAACCAAGCAGAAAATTAGTATTGAGTAAAACTTCAGTTACCTAGATAGCATCTTGTAAATTTGAATACTACTCTTTTCTACCAGTTACTATGGTAACCCTGATAGATATACGACATTTCTAAATAATGTTATATACATTAAAACTCAGTGATTGTCATTTCTGATGTTAGATAATACAGATGACAGGCACGAAGGTACTATCTAGTATACTGGAAAGAGTACATCATGGTGTACTTTACTACGATACTCATATATATATATATATATATATATATATATATATATATATATATATATATATATATATATATATATATATATATATATACTCGATTATCTTTCAAAGTATAAAAGCATTCTTCTCAAGCGTTACAATTTTCTCAAAATTTACTGGTTACTTTACTTATTTTTGAAAAAATGAAGATGGAAATAAGCATTCATGGCGTTGACCAATCAAATTTGAGAAAATAATTAACACATTTAACATACAGTTAATAATGAACTAGTGCCCCAGAAAAAGTGTTCAGCGATTGGTTTTTATTATTGACTGTGAACAGTTATCTTCTAGTACATATGTTTTTACGAAGCAGTGAAATTTCTTCTAGTTCTAAGTTATTTATTACAAAATAACGACAGTAAACATTTGTTGATTTATTCTCATTTATGCTAAAAACTAAATAGTAGGAGACACTGATTTGTGATGACAAATTTTCTCATCTGTGATTGAATTATTAATCTTTCTGTGTTGTTTAAAGTGCTGATTCATATAAGCACTTGGTTAGCGGAAACGGAATTATTAGCTTAACGAATAAAACATGAAATCTACTATCACATTAAAACATTTTATGATTACGCTATATTTCTGTTTGGATATAAATGTACTATGTTCTCAACGTAAACGTGATAAACTCACAGTTGCTGGTATACCTGGTGATATAATGCTTGGGGATTATTTCCTGTACACACATCTGGTGCAACTACATGTGATTCAATTAATCCTGAAAGAGGAGTTCAAAGAGTTGAAGCAATGCTTTTCACTTTGGATGAAATAAATAACAACAGTAAATTATTACCAGGTTTAACTATAGGTGCTACAATCCGTGATACCTGTTCTGATACAAATCATGCATTAGAACAAGCATTGAAATTTGTTCAAGCGAGTCCTACAAGTTGTGTGACACCGTCGGCAACACCATCATCATCATCATCACCACAACGGGGTGGACAGTCGAACACAGCCTCTCAACAACCAGAACAATTAATTACACGTGGAGTTGTTGGCGGTTCTTATAGTTCAGTGACAATACTTGTAGCAAATTTATTTCGGCTATTTTCTTTACCACAAATATCTTATGCATCTACAAGTGCTATATTGAGTGATAAACGTGCATTTCCATTATTTGCACGTACTGTACCATCAGATGTTGTACAAGCTCGTGCAATGGCTACATTAGTTTCAGCGCATAATTGGACTTATGTCTCTACAGTACGTAGTGCAGGTGATTATGGTGACTCAGGTATGGATGCATTTTGGAAGGAAGCTGATAAACTTGGCGTATGTATAGCAGCACGTGAAGTGATCAGAGGTAATACTGGTCCTGAGGACTGGATAACATAGTGAATGTGCTTAGTAAAGACTTTGCTAAAGCCAGGGTTGTTGTCTTATTTACCGGCATGGATCACACAAAGTTATTATTAGATGCAGTAAGAAGAGCTGGTCTAGTAAATCACTTTGTATGGATAGCTAGTGATGGATGGGGCAGAGAAAATGTTCCAGTCTCAAATAATTCAAGGGAGGCAAATGGTGCATTGACTATAGAGATTCAAGCTGAGCCAATTAAACAATTCACAGATTATTATCTTAATTTAGGCAGAGAGAATCAAAGAAATCCATGGTTTCAAGAATACTGCAAGAGTTAACACAGTGCAGAGAGGGTGTGACTGAGAGTAGAGTAAAGAAATCTACCGATTCTAAACGTTACTTTATGAGTAAACCACTGAAAAATGAAACGGATTTTGGAACTCTGAATGACATGCCAACTGAAAGATCATCTTATTCACCATCATCCTGTAGTAATAAACCAGATTTAAAACTACGTGATATTCTTGGACATGATTTTAAACAGGAAGCAAAAATTCAATTTGTTTATGATGCTGTCTATGCATTTGCTTCAGGATTACATATACTTCAGCAGAAATTATGCCCAGGTAATCCATTGCATCCTATGTGGGACAAAAGAGGCTGTTTAGAAAAGATGCTCAACTATTCAGGAACTGATTTTTATCAATTAATGATCAATACTTCTTTTACAGGTAAGTTTATTGATAATAAGAACAGTTTCTTAGTGTTATTGCTATATTTTACTGTTTATAATAATAATAATTCTTGCTGTCTAATTGCTATGATATCTTAGAAGATAAATTATGCGGAAAAAACTGCAGGTATCCCATTACCAATATATGTGTACTATAAACTGAAAGTTATTGAAATATAGTACTAACTAAGTCGAGGGTATGTACAATATATTGGTGGATATCATTCTGTACTGAATCATCAATTGAAATTAAAAGTTAGCACGCGGTGAGTGCGTCGGTGGCATAGCGGTTAGGATGCTCGCCGATCATGCACATGGTTCGGGGTTCGATCCCCTCCCGACGCACTCTTTTACCTCGCTAAGCTAGAAATAATGCTGGTAAAGGGGAAAAGTTGGGCATGAGGCTAGCAACCCCATCCTGTTAAAATAAACACCGCTACAGAAACTTCAAGGCACTAGCTTCAACCTCTATGTTCTACTGGGGAACGTGAAGGAAAAAAATGCGGTGAGAAGTCACATATATAAATGACCTATGTGAACAATTTCATTTAAGGTAATTTTGAGAAAGTATTCTTAGGTGAGTCAAATGAAGAGGCCATTTACACTTCTTACCTGCATGTAGATTCAGGTCTATCCTACTCTTAAGACCTCTGAAAAAACTAAAACATCTTTTTAAAATTTGTTTCAGTATTCCAAACGAGCATATTCCATCCTGTTTCTATGCTTAAAACCTTCTTAATATTTTCATTTTTTAATATCACCTTAAAATGTGTCAATTGGAAAGAAATAAAACACCATATAAATTCTGCTCTGGAAAAGTCACAAAATATCTAACAATATATGAAGCAATTTGGTTCACCTAATTGTTTAACATCATTTGTCAAATATCTTTGATAAATAAAAAAATTATCAGTTATCCATGAATGTTTAAATACAATCCCTAGTGATCTCATAGTATCCTTCAGGGGAGTAATCTTCACCTTATTAGACATACTGACACAGAGTGATAATTTTAGATGAAGTAATTATTTGAGCTTTTAGTCTAACGAAACTTATCTCCTTTGGAAACTAATACCACTCAGATTTCACTTGTTAAAGGAAGATAATAATTCAAAACAACAGAAGGTATTCAACATGCTAACAAGCTGTTCAAATATGTAAGTTCCAATGTAAGATCTTATTGGAACAAGAACATGTAAAAGAACTGGAATATATTAGTTGCACAGCGATCAAATTCATAAAACTTTTGGAAAACGGATACTCATTATTGTTGTTACAAAGAAAGTGCGAAATTTTATATCTTGAGTTTTCTGGATTTATTAAGGATCACGATTTGAGCAAATACGTATTTTTGGTAAATTCTCATCAGACTTACATTCCTGTAATGAAATATTATTCTCATACATTTGGTTCCTTTGATAAATTTCGATAGAGAAAGAAAGACTAGATTTTCGGTATAAAATGATATCATTCTATTTCACAGGTTCTCATCAGCCAACTGCAAACTACCTGAAATTACAGTGGTTATAAATAATAACATTTCTTGCTTCATTGTTTGAAAGGTAATAGACAAGGCATTATATGGTGAACGCATCTGAATATAAGTATTACAATGCTTAATTCAAGTCACCATCAATCTATATACTATCAAACAATAAAAAGGATAAAAGAAATAGGGTGGGGTGAGAGAGGACAGAAAACAGAAAAATCTAATAAACAGTGTTAGCTTGTACGTCAACATGGCAATTCAAGAAGGTCAAAGTTTAGCAATTTGAAGACTTGATTAGTGAGATGAGTTCACTAGTTTGTATAACTAATCAGTGTAAGGTAATGTAATGCACACAGAAAGAGAGTGTAGTCAATCTCTCACTCCCTTGGTAACCATATCACTTTCATTACACTGATTAGTTATACAAACTAGTGACTTGCTACAGGATGGAGTTTCCTGGAGTTCCAGTGAGAAGGCGTAACCAGTGAGGTCCATCCAGTCAAGTGTGAGGATGGATGTCCCGCCACCGATATCGGTTGGGTTCGCGCTAAACCACGAACTAGTAGAGGTTAGAATTCATGAGCCATTGAAGGGGTACCCAGTGTCTAAATGGTACACGACCTTGCCTTCTAACTGTGAAAGTTCTGGGTTCGAGCCCTGACAGTAGGTGCGCACCGTCAGTGATTCCCAAACTATGATGAAACAGCTGTCCAGTACTTCCTGTTTTTCAGTGCCTCTCTAATTAGTTTCAATCTGTGGTCAAACTCGAAAAAACACATCCAATCCTTACAAAATAATGATAACAACAAAGACAAATTGGTAAACCGAGAATATCATACTGTTCTGCAGTTAAACATTTTATTCTCGATTTAACAATTTATCATTATTATTATTATATTATCTAATCACTATGTGACAGTAGTTACTGCCCCTTTCCTTGTACCCTACCAGCCTAGATTATATAAACACCTGAATACATTTATTCTTGTTGTCATTATTACGATCACCTTAATTGTCATCCATTAATTCACACCTCTGATCCTATATTTCTTTAGCCACCTTGATTCAAATGTCTATGACTAATATTTCATTATGTAAATGTAAAGCCTGATGAGAATTTACCGAAAATACGTATTTGCTTTAAATCGTGTTCTATAACTATCAAGGAGCTTCAGTATCACGGAAAGACAAAAATCAGCGGTTGATTTTTATCACTCAATTAATGAGGTATCATTCCTGTAATTTATGCATGATAGATTTAATGAATTTCCAGGAATAATTCATTTTACTTTCTACTCAGTAATTATCAAGACAGTTTGGCTATTTATATAAGGGATTTCTAGATATACTGTGTGATGTAAGTCAGGGATAAATAGAATACTTATTTTACATCTTAGGTTAGATTAACACTACGGATCATAATAACATGGATTTTTAAATGTATGCTCTACAAAGCTTTTATTAAATGATATTGTTGTCATAAAGTTGTTCACGATTGTCCACCTATTATTAGTATAGTTGTATTGTCAGAGTTCATATTGAAGTTTGTGCTGATGATGGTGCCTAGAAGGATAATGACAACTTCGCATGTAGATTATTAAACTCATCTACTTCAATACCATCCACCTGAGCTACAAATCTTCACTAATACTTAAATTGTTTCATTTGTTTGAAAAATCACTGTACTACCTATTTAAAGTGCTTACGGATTATTTAATTTATTCTTTTGCGTTTTGAGTTGGCTTCAAGCTTTGAGTTCTGAAATTTCCGTAGCACTGGTGTTATTGCTTTGCCTCTATCTCTACCTTCCCCCTTTACGGGGCTTACAAGCAGTTAACTGAGATTTAGGGCTGCATTTGCCAGGAATCGAACTCCGGACCACGTGAGTAGTTGATGGGCATTCTACAATTGAACAACCGACGCTTTAATGAGCTCTAAGCATATTACCATAGTACAACGAGGTAAAATAATGCTTTTCAACAAACAAAATATACCATCTTCCTACCGAAACATGAAATTAGATTGAATGGAATATTGAAACGTCAAAAAATTAATCCCATAAAAGAACATAAGGATCATTGATATTGATATCATTGATATAACCACCTTAAATTTATCCAAGTATTGTCTCTAATATTGGGAAATCAGAATATTATTAGAAATATTCATTTTACTTATTGTGACTTTTCATTTGACAAGTTGTTTTTTCTGACGAATAGTAATTTCTTTTGTTCAAGTTTATAAATCAATAGGCCTTCTGACCTTGATAGAAAAACCAAGCCTTGTAAGTGTCAAGTTGAATAATTCCATGGTTGAAATAACTACTTCCTGTTTCAGGCGTGAAGTCAAACAAAAAAGTACAAAGTATGATTATTTAAGTGAGAGTTATTCACCAAATAAAATAATCATAATACCTGAAAACTCTATATCTGGTGGGTACTTTCATTTTTACATGAAGTACATAATTGTTCAGCTGTAATTCCTATCTAAGTACGATATAATGAAAAAACAGATAGAAGTAGAAATTTTTCTCTAGCATAAGAGGAACACCTCAGTATTGTAGTATTCTGACATTTGTATCTAATATATATCATTCATAAAATGGCTATTATGTAGTGAGTAACGTATCCAACATAAGTTATTGTTAACAGTTATGTCATTTGGGATGCCACAGATAGACCTCTAAGTTGGTTGTTAATTAAAGCTCTGTATACTGCATAAATACATTAGGTCCGAATGCTTCAGCGTATTGAAAAAAATCATATCGAAGATTATTTCACCCCTATGTTAAAGGGGAAATGAAATTAGAACCAAAAAATGCAAATATAAACGTTCCTATTCTACTTTCAAAACGCGAACTGTAAGTTGGTTTCAAATATCTTTTAGTGAATAACATTATTCCCTAATTTTGATGCATTATAATAAGCAAACGATCTTGAAAATCCAGATTATTGTTAGCAGTGTAATTTTATTGCATAAACCGTTCATGAAAATCACTCATTATTCGTGTAATGAAAGTTTCAAGAGTTGACTTGTAAGGCTTAGATTTGTTTTTTCCAATTTGACCACGGACTGACATCAGATGGGGAACCATTGAAAACCAGCGGGAGTACTGAATAGCTACTTCATCCTAATTTGGAATCATCAGCAGTATGCACCCACTTCCAGGGTTCGAACCCAGGACATTCCCGATTACAACGCAAGCACATATACTACTCAGCCACTGGGACCTGTTTCAATGGCCCATGAATTCTTACTTCTACGAATTTGTGATTTAGCGTGACCACCAATCAATGTCATCAGGTCCCAGTGGCTGAATAGTATATGAGCTTGCGTTGTAACCGGGAAAGTCCTGGGTTCGAACCCTGGAAGTGGGTGCATACTGCTGATGATTCCCAAACTAGAATGAAATAGCTATCCAGTACTCTCTGATTTTTAATGTTTCTCTAACTGATATCAATCCATGGTCAAACTAGATAATAAAACTTTTTCATAAATTCAACATTGAA